CTCCTAAATCACTCGTACGCACAATTTAAGAACAAATCTGTGCGTACGAACGGTTCTTGCATGAGGCCCATTGTCTTAGCACTCAGACAATTTGGGTGGAATCAATCTCAGCTACTACCACACCAAATTTTAATCTGTAAAATTTGCATTTTTGTGTTGGCTAGAAAAAAAATTAGCTGCTCGAATAGTCAATGTTTACTTTCTGAAAGTTTCATTAAAATTTGTCCAGTGCTTCACAGAATATTTGGCTGACAGACAAACACATGAATGCCTGCGCACACAAACACCCATWCTTTGGCAAAGACATTAATGTCCACATCCGCCACATCTTAGAGGCAGGACCTAACAACGAAATTGTGTAAAAGATATACTGTATGTATAAATATATTTCACATCAGTGATATGCAGACAGATTGTCTTGATTACATTTTGTCAGCCAAAACTAGCAGAACTACGCAGTCCACTGTGCCATATTCAGCCTCGCTGTACATTTCAGTGTATGTTGTCAGCATTTATTTAGCATTTCTTAAGTATGCTGCACTAGTAACATCTTAAATGAAAAAATGSTTTCCATTATATCCTGTTTAGTGTACGTAGTGTCAGTGAAGTAGTGAGTGAACGAGTGAATGTTACATTTAGCATTTCTGCCACTTTCATCCAAAACTAATTGAGAACATCAAGKGCAGGAAAAGACCATCCATGTAGCGACTTCCATCCACAAAAAGGCCGCCGCTGGCTGAGAACTTTTTTTGCTCTGTGACGCATCTCTCATAATCCATGAGTCCATTTCTTTTTGCCTATTTATATGAGAAAACAAAACAACACTTTTACACTAAACGGTGCTTGTAACTAGAAATTTGAGTTGAAAATTTAAAATGACAATGGTGACATTCAAAATGACCATCAACAGTTTGCCCTAAMGCCTCCCACCCAACACGTGGCTGGGCACAGTAAGTAATGTGTGACCACGCCCCATTATCTCATTACCTGAGGTGTAGGACTAATCTAAACACCTAAAACAGATAAACAACCAAAACTTTTATTTTGTCCATAGAGTCCAACATAATTGCTGACCAATAGTCCATTTGATATTGATGATGCACATATTGATATTGCAGATGAATAAATTGTCAAAATATTGTGCAGCTCTGGTTGATAAATACATGATTTGTGACGGAGTGTTTAAGATGCCTCTTATTTAGAAATTCTGTAATTTAGAATTTAATTTTTCAGGTGTAGATAAATTCATGAATGACCATTTGTGTTTTGTAAACAGATAGGAAGTGGCAGAAGCCTGTCTGCAGTACGTGTGCTCACAGGCACTCTAATAACCCTTTCGATGGTGTATGCATTTCCCCTACGTGTTCTTTGTCCTCGCATGTCCGCATGTGCACATGTTTGCGCCTGCGTGCATTCTGGGTCTGCCGGCCTGCGTCCCGTGTGCGTTTGTGTCCGTGTGTGCRTGCGTGTGTGTGTGTGCGTGTGTATGTGTTCCAGGAGAGCCAGTGGTTGGACAGCGTATCTCTCCTAATCAAGGACACGTTAGAGGGGGAGATGCTGATGATCGACAACCTCTCCGGTTCTGTCTTCCACCACTACTCCTCTCCGCCGCCTGTCTGCAAAAACTGCAAGGGCCAGCAGCAAGAGGTACCCTGATCACACGTGAACACACACATGTAGGAAGGACACACTGCACCTGACGAGTGCAGCGTAAATGAACGTTAATTCTCTGCTGGGTAAATATCTTTTTTTAAGGGATCTAACCATATCATGACAGCTTAGTGATTTAGAATTAAATGTTAAATGTTTAAAACGTTTTGGCCAGTGTCTCMGTTTTCTGTAGGTTACTGATCAGGTCTGGAGTTCATTTTTCTACAAAGATTTAATTTAGTTTAGAAAATTTATTCATTTCTTTAAAAAAAACAAAAGACATTCTATATAAAAGAAATACAAATCACAAATCAAATGAAAGACAGCAGAAAGAAGAAAAAATCTGGTTGCCCCATTTTTTTCCCCAAAGAAAAATTCAAACAATAATAATCTTCAAATAACAAAAACAATGCAAAGAAAAAAGTTAATTCCTTCTTGAGCAACTGTTCATACAGATACAAATTATATTTCATATTTTTTCAACAAACCGACTGATCATTCTCTTAAACATACACATTGATCTGACATTTTTAACATCTGTCTCTAGAATTGTTCTATAATTTTATTCCTTAACACCGATAATGTGTTTTTATGAGCCCAATACATAAACGATAAAATACTATAATCATCCAAATCATAGAATTTCAATAACTTCAATTGATAAAATAATGTATTTGATGGGTAACACTAATGTTTTCTAGTGATAACTCTTATAGCTCTTTTCTGTAAAACAAAAATATGATTTGTAATTGTTTCACATGCTGTCTCCCAGACTTCAATGCAATAGATTAAGTGTGGAACAATTATTGCATTATACACCATATACAGAGCTTTATTGTTGAATATCTCCCTTACTTTGTATAGTACTGCAATTAGCTACTGTATCTTTGTTCTTAAATGATTTATATTGCTCTCCACATCAGCTTTTCATCAAGGATGACACCCAAAAACTTCACCTCACTGACTCTACAAATCAACACCATCGACTCTAAATGGAACATCGACAGTTCTCTTTCTATTGCTGAATATCATATAGTTWGTTTTCTCCAAATTCAATAATAATTTATTAAGTTTAAACCAAGTTTGTATTTCTATAAATTCTGTTTGCATTATTTCCAACATCTGTTCTTTACCCAAACAAATAAATGTGGTATCATCTGCAAATGGAATACATTTAAAACCTAGATACCCAGTGTAGTGCTGGTCCTCTAATACCAATATAAATGTAGCTTTTCAAGSAAAATGGTGGTCAATAGTGTCAAAAGCTTTCTTTAAATTAAATGAATACTAGCACAGTACAGTTTCTGATCAACAGAAGTTATTTATTCTATCACTTCTATGAGATTCATTGATGTAGAATTATTTGCTCTAAACCCATTCTGACTTCTACTTAGAATTTTTTTTTATTGATAAATTGATCTAATCTAGTCAAAAATTATTTCTCTAAAATCTTTGAAAACTGTGGTAACTAGGATACTGGTCTGTAATTGTTGAACACATGTTTCTCGCCATTCCTAAAAAGAGGAATTACCTTGGCTATTTTCATATTGTTTGGAAATATTCATGTTGACAATCAACGTTTGACAAGTTTTCAGCTAATACTAGTTTACAAATGACCTTACTGCTGCAGAAAATTAAATGGGCCCAAATTGTGTATTTGGGACYGACCGTTAGCAACAAAGTGGGACAAAAAAGAGACCATTTCTGAGAATAGTCAGAAACAAGGCCGCTAAATGAGTGAAAATGCAACAAAAGTTTAAAGAAAAGCATTTCAAAAACCTAAATAAAACCAAAGAAGGGATGAATCAAGACTTTTGCACRGTATTTTGTAGAAGTAAATTATCTGAACAATTCTCCTTTAAGCATACGGAGAATTGAGAGCGCTCACTTCTATCAAGAAGGTTACATGTGACGAAACACATTTAATTGACCTAAATTCAGAACTTTATTATCCATAAAGCAACMTTACAAAAGAGGGAACCCTGTAAGATTTGCGTGCACTTTTTGTATCTAAGCTGCAGGTAAATTCACTTGATTGGCAGCTGGGTTTACTGTGTCAGAGAGCAGCAGCCCACAATAGCAAGACTGAAATATAGTGACTGCAAAATGTCAGTAGCATACCTGAAAATACCATCATTTACCWGCATAAAAAATAACAAAACTACCAAGTTTTGCCCACGTTGTGAAAAGGTTGGAAAAGTGTGAATCCATTACAGGAATAAATAAAAAGTTGCACTTTAAGGTCACATAGATTTATGTAATACTATAAATATATATGAATTTAATAATGATATTTCAGCTTTCAGGGAAAAACATCTGCATTTAACACTTCCAAGCAGTACATACAAACATTTACTGTAGTTAATGGGAAATGCGACTAGTTTGCATTAAAAAAATGAAAGCTCCATCCCTGAATAAAAACACATAAACCAAACATGCATTTTTGTGTCATGAAAAACTCCTCCACAACCTCAACTTATGATGTTTCTGATCAGCCTGCATGCAAACAGAGCCAWACACGGAAACATGCATTCATGAAAAAAMTWAAATAAAATMAAATCTGCAGGGCTTYCTTCATCGCACAGAGCAGTCTGAAAGGACAGGGTTGTTGAAAGTCAGGCTTTGCCACTCATGTCAACTCATCTGTTATTTTACAGTAAGAATAAAGACCTTAATTAAACTTATCAGCTTAAGCTAAAAGCAGCTTTTCAGAAGTGCATGACTGTGGATTAATGRGGCCCTCTGCATGCACACACAACCATTCTTGTTAATGTATGGCTGCACGAAAAAGCATGTGCACAGCGACAATCTCCTTTGTTTAAGCTTATTTTCTAAAGTGTCTTGTTAACAAGAAGCTTCTGCATTGAACACGCCCTCAGAAACATGCTGTGCCGCGCAACTGTTGTTCATCACAATGACAAAGTGCAGTGGGTCAGCTCAGAGGAAGAGGTGCCGGGAATCTACACCTCGTCACCTGTCAGCCTCGCTTTCTGCCTGTCTGCAGACGCTGTCAAGCCATCAGTCTTCCCTCTTTCTTTAACATGTGTCCTCCATCCGTGTGGACTTCCACTCTGGCTATCGCCGGTTTAGGCACTGATTTATTTGCAGCCGATTCAGTGCAGTTCTGCTTTAATCTGCAGTGCTTTGTTGCCAAGCCTTTATAGCAGGGGTCCCCAAACTTTTTCCTGTAAGGGCCACATAACTTTTCCCTTCTCTGGTGGGGGGCCGGAGTCAGTTTGTAACAGAAAAAGTGTGACTATTGCAGGAGTGCCTAAATGTAAAAATTTATTGTTTTCCAGAAAGCACAATCAAATAACCCTCTCTGGGTTCTTCACAGTATGTATTCTGCTGAGCTAACAGTCCACTTTTTTAGCTTTGACAGTTTGTTTGCTCACATTTGGCCTTGAAGTTATCATACCTGTCTTTGTGACAGGATTCATAGTGTCGCCACAGATTGTA